TGAAAAGCCCTCCGCATTCTGGGTCCTTTTAATATCCCGGTACTGTGGGATGTACGGCACCACACCTCCAAACACCATCGCTGCCGATGCACCCCAGGATACCAGCTGATGCACTGGTGCCACCAGCCATTCCCAGCCGTCCACTTCCATTATTGGCAAGATAAAGTCCCTTAGCATCAAGGCGGTGAAAGGGGATCCCCTTCTACTTCTTCCTGAGTCTTTATTGATTTGGAGTTTTATTCAAGTCTAGTAAATGTTGACAAAGGATGTGTTTCATTCTTCATGCATCCCTAAGAAAACAAAAAGAGAAAAAATACCAACTTGAAAGGATGCGTTTGAAAGGAAAAAATAATCTCATAATATCAAAGGCTAGCCAAATCACAAAATTGTAGGAAAAGTTTGCCCATGTGAATCTAAAGTCTTTTAACACTAGAAAGCGATTTAACTTTAACTGCCATGGCTGAATAATCTGGGATTTGTAGTTTAGGGATTTTTAGTATTCTCAGCCAGGGATGTTTAGTGCTTCACCAAACTACAAATCCCAGGATTCCACAGGATGCAACCATTGCATTTAAAATGGAAAGGGAGCCATGGTTTCAACCAGTGCCTTCTCTACATTCAAGGTAAGCATTTGACTTCTCCACTAAGACTTAAGCATTCAAATCCTAAAAATAACATTGTCTCAGGGTACTTCTACACTGAAGAATAATTGCAGTTTGACACCACTTTAACTGCTGTGGCTCAATGCTATGGAATCATAGGAGTTGGAGTTGGCTGAGGCACTCAAAGACCTTGTAAAACTAAAGGTAAATGTTTCCCCTGACCTTAGTCGTGTCCGAATCTGAGAGGTGGTGGTCAACTCCATTAGTTGTGTCTGAATCTGGGAGGTGGTGGTCAGCTCCATTTCTAAGTCGAAGAGCCAGCGTTGTCTGTAGACATCTCCAAGGTCGTGTGACTAATATGACTGCATGGAGTGCCATTACCTTTCCGTCAAAGCAGTACCTATTGATCTGCTCACATGTGCATGTTTTCGAATGGCTAGGCTGGCAGAAGTTGGGGCTAACAGCAGGAGCTCACCCCGCTTTCCGGATTTGAACCACCAACTTTTTGATCAGCAAATTCAGCAGCTCAGTGGTTTAACCCGCTGTGCCACTAGGGGGCCCTTGTAAAACTAAAGCTCCCATAATTCCATAACATTGAGCTACGACAGTTAAAATGATCCCAAACTGCATTCATTCTACAATGTAGATGTACCCAAAGAAATGACAGTATCAGAACTTAGGTCACTGATGTCTTTCAGTGCTCATGAAAATATTGTTATCTTTCACAGCTGGTTCCAAGTTACAAGGATCTCATAAAGTGATGCAGGATCTGATAAAACAATGCATAAAACTATACAGTCTATAAAGGACGTGGTACACCATCTGTATAGCACTGACAGCATTCAAGATAACAATGAAATAACTTCTGGTTTGTTTGTTTTTAAATCCAATGGCACTGAGCAACCTTACTAAGAGACTGATTCCAGTGAACAAATAGGTAGACTCAATGTCACTTAGTCAATAGCAATACGAGCAAGACGGTTTGCTTGCCATATAGTCCACTAAGAAGTCACAGGGTGCATTTACACAACAGAATAAATGCAGTTTGACACCATTTTTACTGCCATAGTTCAATGCTATAGAATCCCAGGAATTGGTGAGTCACTAACACTCTTTGGTAGAGAGGGCTGAATAATAATAACAACAACAAAAACAACAATAGGTAAAGGTTTTCCCCTGACATTAAGTCCAGTCATGTCCAACTCTGGGGTTGGTGCTTATCTCCATTTCTAAGCTGAAGAGCCAGTGTTGTCCATAGACGCCTCCAAGGTCATGTGGCCGGCATGAGTTCATGAAGTGCCGTTACCTTCCCACTGAAGCAGTGGGAAGGTAACTGACATTTGCGTGTTTTCAAACTGCTAGGTTGGAGGAGCTGGGGCTAACAGCGGGAGCTCACGCTGCTCCTCGGATTTGAACCTACACCTTTTTGGACAGGAAGTTCGGCAGCTCAGCACTTTAACCCACTGCACCACCAGGGGCTCCATAACAATAATAATAATAATATTGACAATGATAACAATAATAATATAATAACAATAATAAAATATTATAAAAATAATATAGAAATTTATATTTTTATATTGTATGTTATATTTTTAATAGTATTTTGTGATTGTTTTACTTGTTACAATTGTTGAGGCATCAAATTGTTGCCAATTGTGAACCGCTCCGAGTTGCCTTTGGGCTATTTACCATATTTACCATATAAATATGGTAAATAGGTAAATAACATAAAATAAAATAATATTTATAACCCGTCCTCTCTCCCCGAAGGCACTCAGTAAAACTACCTTGCAAACTATCGTAAGTCCTTGTAAAACTACCACTCCCAAATTTGACAGTATTGGGACATGGCATTTAAAGTGGCGTCAAGCTGCATTAATTCTACAGTGTTTGCGCCCATAAAGACTTGAGGTCTCTGATCTTACTTGCTTTAACTCCTCTTCTTTCTGAATTACTGGGGATTTCCTTACTCTGCAGATAACATGAAACTACCTTGGCTGAAAAAAACATCCTGCGAATGGCTCCACACATTTCCAGACTGCAAGCTGATATGCCCCACTTTGGAAGCCCTTTTCAGAAAAGGATGCATGCATCAAACAAAAGGTTATGCAAATTTATGGGACTCAAAAGCAAGCATGGGCAAACTTGGGCCCTCCAGGTGTTTTGGACTTCAACTCCCACCACTCCTAACAGCCTCAGGCCCTTTCCTTTTCCCCCTCAGCCACTTAAGCGGCTGAGGGGGGAAAGGAAGGGGCCTGAGGCCGTTAGGAATGGTGGGAGTTGAAGTCCAAAACACCTGGAGGGCCCAAGTTTGCCCATACCTGCGCTAAAGCAATAAATATTGATTAGGGCCGTGACCCAATTAATTACAGCTTAAGAATGCATAGGTGTTACATACCATATGTATTTTTACATCACCCTTGGAACATATTTCCAGGAAATTTATGTCGATGTTTTATGTATGAGTTTGAATCAATGTAATTTCGCTCCATGAAAATTGATAGTACTGGAGAAGACAGCAGTGTGGTCTTTCCTTTTAGGTCAGGCACACAAGAATCACAGCTGGAAGTCTTAAAGAGACATGCTCTGTGTGAAGGGAGGGAGGCGTCCACACTGTAGAATGAATGCAGTTTGACAGCACTTTAACCACCATGGCTCCATGCTATGGAATCCTGGGAATTGTAGTTTGGTGTGGAAATAGCATTCCTTGCAAGAAATGTCTTAAAATAATATCTTATGTCTTCATTTGTACCCTTCAGAATGAGTGAATGCAGTTCTCTATGATTTAGTGACTGAAGATGCATCTACAGTGACCAATTAATGCATTCTGCACCACTTTAACTACCATGGCTCAATGCTATGGAATCCTGGGAGTTGTAGTTCAGCGTGGCAACTGCATTCCTTGGCAGAAATGTTTTAAAATAATATCTATGTCTTCCTTAGTGCCCTCCAGAATGAGTGAATGCAGTTCTCCACGGTTCAGTGACTGAAGATGTGTCTACAGTGTCGAATTAATGCAGTTTGGCACCACTTTAACTACCATGGCTCAATGCTATAAAATCCTGGGAGTTGTAGTTTGGTGCGGCAACTTTATTCCTTGGCAGAAATGTCTTAAAATAATCTCTATGTCTTCATTTGTACTCTCCGGAATGAGTGCAGTTCTCCACGGTCCTAATGCAGTTTGGTACCACTTTAACCATCATGGCTCTATGCTATAGAATCCTGAGAGTTATAGCTTGGTATGGAAATAGCATTCCTTGCAGGAAATGTCTTAAAATGACATCTTATGTCTTCATTTGCGTGTTCCAGAATGAGTGAATGCAGTTCTCTATGATTCAGTGACTGGAGATGCATCTACAGTGGCAAATTAATGTAGTTTGGCACCACTTTAACCACCATGCCTCAATGCTATGGAATCCTGGGAGTTGTAGTTTGGTGTGGCAACTGCATTCTTTGGCAGAGAAGGCGAAATACCTTGTGAAAATGCAACTCCCATGATTCCATAGCAGTTAAAACAGTGCCCAACTGCATTCATTCTGCCATGGCTGAAGGTGATGAAACTGTGGGAGTTGTAGTTTTACAAGGTCTTTATCTTTCATTGCCAAATGAATGCTGGTGCCTCAACAACAACCTACATTTCCAAGGATTCTATAGCATTGAGCCACTGCAGTTAAAGCGGTGTCAAACTGCATTAATTCCATAGTGCGGAGGCACTTCTTATTACAAAAATATTGTACAAACATGCTACCTTTGTGTACAAGGTGCATAGGAAACATAATTCCATGTCTGGACTAGGGTCCCGCCTCCAAGTCTAATGTTTATGTTAATATTCCAAAATGGGAAACAAAATCCCTTCCTAGTTATCTTATTTTGCATATGCAAATATTCCAAATTCCACAACCTTTCTGGTCCCAAGCACTCCGGACAGGAGATGCTCAGTCTTGATAGGAAGGGCCAGGAAACTCTTCCCAAGTTGAGGCACTTCCTCTGCCCTCTTCCCAAGTGACTCAGGAAGCGACAGCTGCCTGGATACAAAGCGGCTCTTCCCACCTGGGGTCCCCCTCCCTCCGCAGCAGGCTCCCCGCTCTCTCACCTCCGCGCGCCCCTCCAATGACCAGCGAGGACGGACGCTGTTGCTAGGACGGCTGTTCCTGTTGCTGCGAGCGGCCCCCCTCCGCAGCCAGCCCCGCGCATCCCCTTTTCCAGAGCGGAGCGGGCCCCCAGCCTGGACGCCCCTTCTGCGCCTGCGCCTTGGCTCCCTCCTCTCCTCCTTGGCTCCTGCCGCTTCTGCTTTCCCCAGAAGACTGGCGAGGCTCAGCGGAGTCAGAGGCGGCATCCAGGAGCGAAGAGAAGGAGCCCGCCTGCCTCTGTGACGTCATCGCCTCCCGAAGCGCCTCCGTCAATGAAAACGAAACGCCTTCTTCTCCGTCGTCCCGCGCCCCGCCCGGCAGGGCCTTCTGGCAACGTGTCTTCTGGGTCCTAGAAGGAGACGGGTTCATGGGACTGGAATGGGCACATTCCTCTTGTTTGCCTGTGTTATGCGAGGAATGAAACACGCGTGGGAGTGGCTGCCGCTCTCTGTCGGTCTCAGGCAGGCTTTGGCAGGACAGAATGGGCATCTTAAAAGAGTACAGCCGGGGCCCCAACCACTCATACATTGAAAATATTCCACATACACACACATATATATATATGGAATATTTTTATTATATATATGTGCGTGTGTGTGTGAAAATATTTCACATTTTATTCCGTGTGTGTATATATATGTGTGTGTGGAATATTTTTATTCCATCTATATAAATAAAAATGTAATGTTCGTTTGTGGGATTAACATAACAAAAACCACTGGGTGAATTGACACCAAATTTGGACACAATACACCTCTCATGCCGACGAGTGTCCATCACTCATAAAAACATTGGAAAACATAGCAGAAAGACTTAAAAAGCAAAAAAAAATACATTACAATGCATGCGCTAAACCACATATATATACACACACACTAGCAGTCCCTTGCCACGCGTTGCTGTGGCCCAGTCTGTTGATCTGGAAAATAAAGTAATGAGGAAGTGTTGGTTTCTAATATATCTAATTTCTTTATGCTTGTGGGTAAACAGTATTTCTTGCTGTTTCTTTGTCTGTTGATGTGGAGAGTGTCTGGTTTGCCCACCCTGGAACATGCAAGATATTATTGTCCTTCTTTAAGGGTCCCTTTCAAATCTATGATACTATATCTCTCTCTGTGTGTGTGAATCATATATGTATCTATATCTATGGCTGGATGGCTCTTTGTCAGAAGGGTTTTGATTACGTTTTCTTGCCCTGGTGAAGGGAGTTGGACTGGATGGCCTTGAGTATTTTCTGTTGGACATGGGGGTTCTGTGTGGGAAGTTTGCCCCAATTCTGTCATTGGTGGGGTTCAGAACACTCTTTGATTGTAGGTGAACTATAAATCCCAGTAACTACAACTCCAAAATGTCAAGGTCTATTTCCCCCAAACTCCATCTGTGTTCATATTTGGGCATATGGAATATTCGTGCCAAGTTTGGTCCACATCCATCATTGTTTGAGTCGATGGTATTCTCTTGATGTAGGTGAACTACAACTCCCAAACTCAAGGTCAGTGCTCACCAAAGCCTTCTAGTGTTTTCTGTTGGTCATGGGAGTCCTGTATGCCCCAGTTGGTTCAATTCCATCATGCTGTTTGATTGTAGGTGAACTATAAATCCCAGCAGCTACAACTCCCTATCTATCTATCTGTCTATCTATGGCTGGATGGCTCTTTATCAGGAGGGCTTTGATTACATTTTCTTGCCCTGATGAAGGGAGTTGGATTGGATGGCCTTAAGTATTTTCTGTTGGTCATGGGGGTTCTGTGTGGGAAGTTTGCCCTGATTCTGTCATTCGTGGGGTTCAGAATGCTCTTTGATTGTAGGTGAACTGTGAATCCCAGTGACTACAACTCCCAAATGTCAAGGTCCCAAACTTCATCTGTGTTCATATTTGGGCGTATTGAATGCTTGTGGCAAGTTTGGTCCAGATCCATCATTGTTTGAGTCCACAGTGCTCCTTGGATATAGGTGAACTAAAACTCCCAAACTCAAGGTCAGTGCCCACTAAACCCTTCCAGTATTTTCTGTTGGAGAAGGAGAAGGAGATCAAACTGCAAAGACTCTGGCACAAGCCGGTAAAGGTGGTCCCAGTGGTGATTGGCACACTGGGACCACCAGTACCCAAAGATCTTGGCCAGCACTTAAAAACAATTGGTGCTGACAAAATTACCATCTGCCACCCAACTCAGATCTGCACACATTATTTGCTGATATATCACACAGTCCTAGACACTTGAGAAGTGTCTGACGTGTGATCCAATATAAAAGGCAGCATAGTGATCTTGTTTGCTGTATACAATCTTGTTGTGTATCAAATAATAATAATTATTATTATTTATTTATTTATTTATATCACGCCCCTCTCCCCAGGGGACTCAAAGCAGCTTGCAACAAGGCAAAGCAATACAAAATAATAATAATAATACTTTAGAAATTAAGGCAAATGATAAATAGAACAGAACATAATAAGAAACATAAATCACAAAACATATGAAATATAACTCAATACATAAACCATAAATTAAAACCGGTACTAAGAATAGTACAGTGTTCCCTCACTTATTGCGGGTGTTATGTTCCAGGATCACCCACAAAAAGTGAAAATCCACTAAGTAGGGACTAGATAGATAGATAGATAGATAGATAGCATTCCAAGAGTGAGGCAGAAGCGAGGAGAGATTTAAAGGCACCACACACTTTTTTTTGTGCTAGCTATAAGGAAGGAGCTATAAGGCCATGATTTACATACTGCTTTGTATCTCCTCTCTCTCATTTTTTTATGATTGGCTGCCTCTCTCCCGAGGGGGAAGGTGAAACCCCATTCCACACTCCATCATTGCTAGAAGACAAAAACCTGCGATACAGTGAGTCCGCGAAAAGCAAACCGCAAAGTAGCGAGGGAACACTGTATTCCAAATACTCCCCAAAACAATTTCCCGTATCCTAAAATCAAAGAAGCTAGGAACTTTTCAAGGCAGATCAATAAATCTTATATTGCACCAAAAGTCAGTGTTTATATATTGGGTTGTTTGTAGGTTTGTTGGTCTGTTATATACGTGTGTGTGTGTGTGTGTGTGTGTGTGTGTGTGTGTGTGCCTGAAGTTGATTCCTTATCCCCAGTTCCTTATTTGTGAAAATCATCTAAGGATGCATCTACAATATAGAATGAATGCAGTTTGGCGTGACTAACTGACAGAGCTCAATCCTGTAGAATTATGGGAATACAGTGTATACTGCACAATCTACGTTATGCAAGCTACCTTGGTAGCTCTTTGAAGAATCAAAACCCAACTTTATAAACTTTTCAAATAAATATAGCTGATCCAGCCCTTATGCTTACTTGCTTTTTTTTTTGAAGCTAGCATTCACACTGCCTCCACCAAAGCATATGGAATTCAACAGATGATTATCTCACAGTTTGGAGACACCTTCTGGGTTGTCATGGAAGCAGCTTATAAAGGCAAAAAAAAAACAACATAAGGAGAACAAAATACACAGACAAGCCATACCATCCTCATTTATGCCTTCCACTCCTCTCAGATCTAATACACTGCTTTCTGCTCTTCTAGATCGCTTTGAGGAACATGGAACAAAGCAGCTTTGCATCTCCGACCATTTTGCTCTCCCACATTCAAACCTGCTAAAAGAACAACCAGATCTTGCAAGTGGGCAACAGATGGCTATTAAACCAGTTCCCTTTTACAAGGCAAAAGCACATGCAAAATATCTTAATTTGTATAATAAAAGCTTTGACTCTTAATGGATTTACTTGAATATACACATATCCACCTGCAGTCACTACTGTGGCCCTGCACTAACTAAAAGTTGGCTACTTCATTTTCTTTATCATGTCAGAAGCAAATTGAGAATACAGTTATAATGTATAAAAAATATACAAAAATTGTAAAAAATATATATAACGTATTTAAAAATGGCTACCCCAATTGAAGTATTTCTATATCCAAGTAGTCCCTGAGTTGCAAACATCCAACTTACAAGTGACTCATAGTTAAGAACAGGGGTGAGATAACAGCAAGTGAAAGAACCCTACCCCTCAGAAGAGAAATTCACTCCTCAAAGACTTGTCATGAGGGAAAGGAGTCTTCATTCAAGCTTTCTCAACAATCCTTAGCAAAATGTTCAAAATCCAATTGCCACAGGGACAGAAAGTGAGGTGAGATCTTAAGAAAAGACATCAAAATCAACTCCACAGAGGTGTGTATACCCTTCTCTATACTATCCAAAGCATGTGTATGTGTGTGTATAAATATATTTGCTGGAGTTATACTTCAAAAATGTTCCTGTTCCAACTTACAAATTCCACTTAAGAACAAGCCTACAGAATCTACCTTATTCGTAACTTGGGAACTGCCTATATATAATGTCAGCTGTTGTCTTTAAATTGGTATGTGATGCTACGCCAAGCAAAATATATTGTTTTAGACTAAGCATGTAGAATTAGCATAATTTAACACCATTTTAACTGCCATAGCTCAATGCTATGAAGGAGCCCCCAGTGGTGCAGTGGGTTAAACCCTGTGCCGGCAGGACTGAAGACCTGACAGGACGCAGGGTTCGAATTCGGGGAGAGAGCGCAGATGAGCTCCCTCTATCAGCTCCAGCTCTCCATGAGGGGACATGAGAGAAGCCTCCCACGAGGATGGTAAAACATCAAAACACCTGGGCATCCTCTGGGCAACATCCTTGCAGACAGCCAATTCTCTCACACCAGAAGTGACTTGTAGTTTCTCAAGTCGTTCCTGACACGACCAAAAAATGCTATGGAATGTTGAGAGCTGTAGATTTACAAGGTTTTTAGCCTACTCTGCCACAAGGTGCTAGCGCTTCACCCAGCTACAACTCCAATGATTCAATAGTGTAGATACCCTTGTAGTTTCATATACCACTGCTGTCTTAGGGAAGTGCTTTTGTTATTGAAAGAAAGCTCCTCTCCCAAAGTAATTACAATTCAGAACAAGCACAGTTTTTCAAAGTCAAAATTTGAGAAAGTCAAAAGCTAGTGCCCATTACACACAACTCTAAAGGAAATGTTCAGTTTCTATGTACACATTTTGCTGAACGATCATGCCTGTGGGAAAAGTTCCTGGCTTTTAAAGTTAACTCCAACCTACAGTATGACTTTACATACGCTTATTCCTGAAGATGAGGGATATGTTGCTTTCTAAATATTGTGGAATTGCAGCTCCCATTGTCCACCCTCAACATTAGCTAAAGCTGATGAGAGCTGTAATCTAATGAAACCTAGAGGGCTACATGTTC